AGAACTTAAAGTAGTTGGCACAACAGGGTTTGATAATGATATTTCGGAAGCAATATCATTTGAATTTGTAGGTAAGTAAGTAAATTTATCATTCGTTGACTCCTCATATGTTGAGTTATTTGTGATTTGATGACCAACTTTTTCATCGAGAGGACTATTCATCAAGTCTGTTAGAAGAAATGAATCCGGTCTTATGTGTTCAGGTTCCAATATGTAATTATCTACATCATTTAAATTAGCACTTTCGATTGAATATCTGTCAGTTTCTTTAATATTGTCATAATTATTTATATCAGAAGTAGCAGAAACAGCAACAAATGGAACAGGATAAGCTGTTGAACGTGACAAATCCACGAAAGAGCCTTTAGATTGCGATGGATCTTGTGTGGAAAGAGATGGAGTCATGGTATAAATTGATGAATACAACGATTCACCATAAAATGATTGTCTTGAAGAAACGACAGGAGGTTGTGGAGAACTTTGTTCGAATGCGTTGAGATTCTGAGAATGATTATTGGTATTATTTGCAAATACGAGTGGAGGAATAATGGGCAAAGTAGGGTCTTCATTTAGGAGTTGAGAACCAACATTGTTAGGGGATAATTGTAGTGGACTAAGTGGTTCTATACTTGGAATATTCATTTCATTTGAATATACGTCATTTGAATATACGTCATAACTAGTTTCTTTTATATTCTCATCGTTGTTTGTCTCCATTAATTGAGACATATGAGAAGAACCAGGTGGCTTATTATTGTCAAAAGCATCATTCGGATTGGACATTATATCTTTTTCTATATCCTTTTTTTTACCTGCATTCACTTTACGATGAATAAACAATCCGACCAATCCAAAGGCAAGCAGAGCAGCTCCTACGATGCCAGCAGCAGTTCCAGTGCCAAAACCATCGCCGCCATTTGTATCGACACTAGAATCTTGGTTACCTAATTTTGCATTAGCCTCTTTTGGGGTTATATCAGGGAAAGGGTGCTGCGCGTTAGTAGCTTTAGTAGTAGTAAATGAACTTGTAGTAGCAACAAAATCCGCAACTAAAACTGTAGGATGAGTAACTAAATCTGTAGTAGTAGTAATTGAATCTGCACCATAAACTGGGTCTGTAGTAGTAGTAGCTAAATCTGTAGTAGTAGCTAAATCTGTAGTAGTAACTAAATCTGTAGTAGTAGCAATTGAATCTGCACCATAAACTGAGTCTGTAGTAGTAGTAATTGAATCTACACCATAAACTGAATCTGTAGTAGTAGCAATTGAATCTGCATCATAATATGAGTCTGTAGTAGTAGCAATTGAATCTGCATCATAATATGAGTCTGTAGTAGTAGCAATTGAATCTGCATCATAATATGA